TCATTACTCCCGCTGCAAGGAGGCGGGACCGACTAGGTGGTTCCGCCCCAGGCGCCTGATGGATCCTGATAGGTTCCAGATGGAGCTTGGGCCATTTCCTGAGACTCTGGCTCATGACTCGGCTGAAGACCTAGTGGCCGCCTGGGACAGTGCGGCCGGCGAGGCTTTGGACCATGTCGTGCCTTTGTGGCCTCTGACCCGGCACCGAACTCACCTAGCTCCTTGGTTCTCCGAGGAGCTGAGGGAGATGAAGTGCCGGAAAAGAAGCCTGGAGAGTAGTTGGAGGACCAGCCGCTCCGAATCCGACCGAACACTGGTGAGGTCTCATATTAAAACCTACCTAGTGGCGATAAAAGCGGCGAAATCTAGCTATTTTGCCGCTCTTATCGCGTCATCAGATAATCGCCCAGCCGCCCTGTTTAGGGTGACCCGCTCCCTTCTCCATCTGGAAGCGCGGGATGATCCCTTGCAGGGTCGAGCTGAGGACTTTGTGCAGTATCTGCATGACAAGATCGCTCAGATTCGGGAAGGCCTGGCCTCTGATCGGGTAAGTCTAGACGGGATGACTGAGGCAGGTCTTGAGAATGTTATCTGGGAGGAGTTTGATCCTGTGGCTCCCGAGGACGTGGAAAGGATCCTGGGACGACTGAACGCGATCACATGTTTATTGGACCCGTGTCCCTCCTGGTCGGTACTGGCTTCCCGGGAGGTTACACGAGGCTGGCTCCAGAGGATTGTTAACGCCTCTTTGAGTGAGGGTGTCCTGCCGGCCGCTTTGAAAGAAGCGGTGGTGAGGCCCCTCCTCAAGAAGCCCTCTCTGGATCCGGCTGTTTTGGCTAACTATCGTCCAGTCTCCAACCTTCGCTTCGTTGCGAAGGTTGTTGAGAGTGTGGTGGCGCGGCAGCTTCCCCAGTACCTGGATGAAGCTGTCTATCTAGACCCGCTCCAGTCCGGCTTCCGGCCTGGGCACAGCACGGAAACGGCATTGGTTGCGTTGGTGGATGATCTCTGGAGGGCTCGGGATAGGGGTTGCTCCTCTATCCTGGTCCTGTTAGATCTCTCAGCGGCTTTTGATACCATCGACCATAGTATCATGTTGCACCAGTTGAAGGGGCTGGGGGTGGGGGGCACCGTTCTGTGGTGGTTCTCCTCCTACCTCTCTGACCGGTCGCAATCTATGTTGACAGGGGGTCAGCGGTCGACCCTGAGGCACCTTGCTTGTGGGGTGCCACAAGGGTCGGTCCTTTCGCCCCTTCTGTTCAACATTTATGTGAAGCCGCTGGGTGAGATCATCCGTGGCTTTGGGGTGGAGTTCCATCAGTACGCTGACGACACTCAGCTGTACATCTCCACCCCAGGCCACCCCAACGATGCCCTTGAAGTGATGTCCCAGTGCCTGGAGGCCGTGCGGGCCTGGATGGGGAGAAACAGGCTCCGACTCAACCCTTCCAAGACCGAGTGGCTGTGGCTTCCGGCGTCCCGATATAGGCAGCTGGTGCCATCGCTGGCTATTGGGGGCGAATCATTGGCCCCCACGGAGAGGGCTTGCAACTTAGGCGTCCTCCTGGACGCACGGCTGTCTTTAGAAGAGCACATGATGGCCGTGGCCAGGGGGACTTTTTATCAAGTCCGCCTGATTCGCCAGTTGCGTCCCTTTCTGGATCGGGATTCGTTAAATACGGTCACTCATGCTCTCGTTACTTCCCGCTTAAACTACTGCAATGCTCTCTACATGGGGCTCCCCTTGGGGTGCACCCGGAGGCTGCAGTTGGTCCAGAATGCGGCTGCGCGGGGGATTATGGGAGCGACGGGGCGCTCCCATGTGACACCTCTCCTGCGCGAGCTGCACTGGCTTCCTGTGGTCTTCCGGGTGCGCTTCAAGGTGTTGGTGATCACCTTTAAAGCGCTCTATGGCTTAGGGCCGGGGTATTTGCGAGACCGCCTTCTGCCGCCAATAGCCTCCCACCGGCCGGTTCGCTCACACAGAGAGGGCCTTCTCAGGGTGCCGTCGGCCAGACAGTGCCGGCTGGCGACCCCCAGGGGGAGAGCCTTCTCTGTGGCGGCACCAGTCCTCTGGAATGACCTACCCCCTGAGATATGCACGATATCAGACCTCCGGACTTTTCGTCGGGCCCTGAAAACACACTTATTCCATCTAGCCGGGCTGGCTTGATCCCATCCTCTCAGTTTTAATTGATTTGGTTTTAATCTGGGTTGTTTTAAATTATTTGGGCCAAAATTATTTAATTGTTTTTAAATTGTTTTTAAATTTTGTATACTATGTTTTATTTTGGCTGTGCACCGCCCTGAGTCCTGCGGGAGAAGGGCGGTATAAAAATAAAAATAAATAAAACATAGATAAATAATAAATATGAGCCAGCAAATTCACAAGTTGTGACTGTAGAGGTTTTACAATAACTTTTAAATTTCTATACCTCTGCTATACTGGAATCAATTGAAAGGACTTTTCAAAATTATAATTTGGAGAATAAAATAAAAATGATTTGCTGGCTTGGAAAAGAGGAAGGAAATCAAATTAATTTGTCTTTGGAGCAGGGAAAAGAGTCTGTCAGGGACACAATGGAAGTTACCACATTGAAAACAGAAGTTTTGGCAGAGGCTTCTACGCAGTTAATTGAAAAGCAGCAAATAGACTCTTTCCTGCAGACTGATAAACTTTATCGCGACAATTCTTGGTTTTACAGACAGAATCAACTTTTAAGAGAGGAAGTGGCTGATTATATAAGCAGGAAGAGTCAAAATGGAGGTTTCAAAATGAAGGAGACAACTTTTAGGAGAGAGCGGTCTTCAAAGATGCATCAGTCTCAAATCTACATCCAAAAATTTTCAAAAATAAAAGTAGGGGGAGGAGCAATGCTGAAGGAAAAAGTATTATTGAAAATAACTTTACAAAAACTTTCAAAGAGACATCAACCTCAAATCCAAATTTTAAAATTTTCAAAAATAAAAGGAGGAGCAATGCTGAAGAAGATAGAATTATCGAAGAAAAAGGACTGAAAAAAATACAGAAAGAAGGGAAGAATTGAAGATTAATTTTTTGGGGGGGAGGATTTTGGCTATAGGTTGAGAAGTTTAATTAAATTTGTATTTTTAAAATTTACTCTAAGATAATAATATAGTGTGTTATTACAATTGGTTTTGAATATAAAAATGATAGCTTTTTAAGAGTTATCGAGGTAAAAATGATAGCTTTTTAAGAGGTATCGAGGTATTAAAATGGCTAATTAAAAATTTGAGGAATATTTTTTTGAAGGGCTTGAAATTTATATTTTGAGAAATGACTTAATGTCTTATTGATGTATTAAGAGATTTTTAAAATGTTTAATATAAGATTATAGTATTTTAAAAATGTTTAAAGTATTAAAATGTTTAATTTTATGAAGGATTAAAGAGGATAAATGTCTAATTTAGAACTTTATTAGGGAGCAATGTTGATTGAGGAAGAAGGACTGGAAAAAATATAGAAATGGTTAATTAAAAATTTAAGGGATAGTTTCCTGAAGGTTTTGGAATTTATATTTTGAGAAATGAATTAAGAAGGTCTTATTGATGCATTAAGAGGTTTTTAAAATGTTTAATATAAGATTATATTATTTTAAAAGGTATAGGTGATAAAATGTTTAAAGTTTTAAAATGTTTAATTTAGAATTTTTAATGCTGAATAGTTAGAAATTGATAATTGGTTTATGAAGGAATAAAGAGGATAAATGTTTAATTTAGAATCTTATTAGGGAGCAATGTTGAAAAAGAAAGGTGTTTGAGGGATGAAAATGAAACTTGTCAGTGTTTGTTAATGCTTGTAATATTGGTAAAGTTACTGGGTTATATACCAAGAAAAAGGCTTTTATATTCAGGAAGAAAGAATTTAACCCAACTGATTTTGAGAATTTACAAAAGGGAGGTTGATGAATTTGTAAAAGAGGAGTTAAAAAGTGTGAGGGAGTTTTAAACCTTGTAGTAGGTTAGTATATTTTAGCTTTTGCTTGTTAAATGTTATACCCTGTTTTTGCTCTGGGAAGTGGGGGTGGGGGGGTGGGGAGGGGGGGAAGGGTTGGGTTGGGACAAAATTGTTGAATAGATAAAGGTACAAATATAAAAGTAAATGTGGGGAAAATGTTACAACAAATGAAATGATAATATTAAGATATGATAAATATTGGAGGACTAAGAGGAAAAAAGATGTATTCAGATGATACACTGATTATGTATTGTATGTATGTTTATAAAAAAATAAAAACTTTTCAATAAAAAAAAAAACTTCCAGTGATGGACACCCACAATGTCTGAAGGCAAGTTGTTCCAATGGTTAATTGTCCTGTCAGGAAGTTTATCCTCATTTCTAGGTTGCTTCTCTCCTTGATTAGTTTCCATCCATGGCTTCTTGCCCTGCCTTCTGGTGCTTTGGAGGGCAAGACAAAAAACAATGGGTGGAAACTGATCAAGGAGAGAAGCAACCTAGAACTAAGGATAAACTTCCTGACAGTGAAATCAATTAACCAGTTTTGAAGGCTTGCCTTCAGAAGAGATGCAAGACTTACAAGGAAACGTAAGGAGAGCTTTTAAAGAAGCAGACAATCAACAAAGGAAACGTATGTCTTTCACGTGTGCGAGGAATGTTTTGTTTTGCGTGGCTGTTTTTGTACGAAACACTTTTTAATGCACAACAATGAAATATTGCACTCTGTGCTTTACCTGAGACAGTGTACATTTAGCTTCTAAGTACGGATATTTAGCTGGCTTGGCGAGTGCCCAACCATGCTAAGTGAAAAACTGAAACGAGCATCTTTGAAACATTAACTCTTGAAATACTTCCCGCTCTGAGCATATGGTGGGCGAATCATTCTAGAGCGACCGCGCATCTACAGCCCGCTGGTTTTCGTGGGGAAAAAAAGCCGGTGATTCTGTGTAAAGGGAGGCTACGCAGCCCAGTTTTTGAAAATTGTGCGCTACTCATTACTTCCGCTTCCGGTCACCACCGGAAGTTCTCGTTAGAGTTGGTCGGGAAGATGTCTCCCACCATGGCGGCAGCCGCGACAGGCCCTGGTTCAGCGGCAGAGCTATTCTTACAGAGGCTGGAGCAAGTGACAGCTGACGGAGAAGCCGGACTCTGTAGCCTGGAAGCAGCAACAGCGCTTGGCCTGGAACACCAAGTCTTGGTGGGGGTCGTGAAGAGTCTTCAGTCGCTAGGAGAGGTAAGAAGGCAGAGCTGCGCCAGGCCACGCCCCTGAGCGGAGCCACGCAGTGTTAGATGCGGCGCCAAACCTCTTGCGGCAGAAAGGGGCGGGTCTATAAGCTGTCAGCCAATGGGCTAGAGACAGACTAAGGCTATGCCGACCAATGACATTGTTCATAGATTGCATCCTTGTGACTGTGCTGTCCAAGGCTACTCAAGAGTTGTTGGGGGCGGGGAGGGGGGAGACATCAGAAAGCCCCCAAAGCTGATCCCGCCAGTGTTTGTATTTAAAAACAGCGCGCTGTACCACAAACTCTTTGTTTTATGCCTTCACGCCTTTGTCGACTCCTAGGGATTGTCAGGACAAATCCCTGCAATTTTCTTGGCAAAGATTTTCAGAAGTGGTTTGCCAATTTTTTCTTCCTTGGGCTTTGAATGAGTGGCTGGATCTGGTTTCGTCCCTAAGACAGAAGTAGAACTCTCAGTGTCCTGGTTTCTAGCCTGGTGTCTTAATTATTTCACCAAATTAGTCCACCATGTTGTAGTCTTAACATTTTATGTGAACTCAAGCCTGTATCGTTATGGTCTTGTGTGTCATGGAAACCCCCAACATTGGCACAATTAAAAAGTCTCTTTGTCCTATAAACACAACTATTGATATCGTTCTTTTAATTTTTTGAATTGATCTTAGTGCAAATCTGACTCGCCTAAGAGGAAGCATCTCATTGCATTATGTATTTGAATGAGTGGGCAGTGTCAAACTTAAACTGGAGAACATGTTTAAAAAATCCTTAAATTGTAATATCTGAAGTATCAGAATGAAATCAAGAATGAATTGTGTTTTTTGTGACTTACTTTCTTTTTCTTTTTTCTTTTGGCATGCCAGCGGTTGTTTATAGTATCTTTGCTGCTGGAAAAGATCCTATGCAGCTGTTGGTGTAGCATTGGATAATAAACCTGATAAGTGGTAACAAGAGCTTTTATGGCATTAACATAGTCCTTATTGGTTGAATTGATAAAGCTGTAGCATATGTCTTAAGTGAAGGGAGGGGCCTTGATATGACACACAGGGTAGGGGAAACTAGGACTCTCAGGCTGCCTTACATTTTGCTTTGCTCCTGGTCTTAGTCAAAAATGAATGGAATACTTTTAATTAAAAGTCATCGACACTCCATGTTTTTTGGAGCAGTATTATGTCATGATGGGAGAGAAAGTCAGTAAAATAAGGGTCTCTGGTGGAAATAGAATATGGAATCATAGGGCCTGGAAAGTACCTCGGAAGTCTTTTAGTCAACCTTCTGCCGTCCCGGTCAAATGGTTGTCTAGTCTGTTTTTGAAAACCTTCAGTTATGGAGCACCCACAACTCCAGGAGGCAAGCTTTCCACTGATTAATTGCTCTCACTGTCACAGAATTTCTCCGTACTTCCAGGTTGGATCTCTCTTTAACAAGCTTCTACCCATTATTTCTTGTCCTGCCTTCTGGTGCTTTGGAGAATAAGTCAATTGCCTCTTCATGTATGCTTATGTTCATAGTTCATGTTATGTCTATGGAGAGTCTCAGTCATCCAGGTCATGATTATCCCAAAGGGGCTTATTCAGGAGGCAACTGGAATTTATTGTTTTTCTTTGAAGGTGTTTCGCTTCTCATACAAGAACTGGAGAAGTGAAACACCTTCAAAAAAAATATATCCAGTTGCCTTCTGAAAAAGCACCTTTGGGACAGTTCATGTTATGGTTATACATGTACACAATGCTAAATAGATTGCTATAATTTCATCAGATTCTAAAGTAAAACCAATATTTTGCTCACCTTTTCCTTGTTAATTTCTGTTGTGACCTTCAAGGGAAGAAGAAATATAGTACAGGTATAGTCCTTAACTTACAGCAGTCCATTTAGTGACCATTCAAAGTTACAACAGCACAGAAAAAAGTGACATAACTGTTTTTCACACTTATAATCATCACAGCATCCCCATGGTCATGTGATCAAAATTCAGGTGCTTGGCAACTAAGTCCTATTTATATTTGCAATATCCCAGGGTCATGTGATCATCTTTTGTGATCTTCTGACAAGCAAAGTTGGTGGGGAAGCCATGTTATTAAGTTAACAACTGCAATGATTAACAACTGTGGCAAGAAAAGTCATAAAATGGGGCAAAATTCACTTAACATCTGTATCACTTAACAACATAAATTTTGGGCTCAATTGTAGTCGTAAGTCAAGGACTACTGGTACACTGTACCTTACCCACCAGCAACTACTAAATCTGAGCTGCAAAAAACCAGATGATACTAGATTCTTGCAAAGTTTTTTAAAAAACCTCTTCCATATAATGCTCATTTGCAGCCTAGATTTGATAGTCCTAACCTCATCATAAGTATTTCCAGTTCCCCAATTACATTTGATTAAAACTTATCTTTTAATCTTTTGTGATTGAAGAGTAATTAGCTCAGAAAAGGAAATTGCAGTGGAAGATTATTCTAAAAATGCTAATAAGAAAATTTAGTAATTGAATTTGGCCCTGGTGTATATGCATTCAGATTCTCCTTAAATATTCCCACATATAACTCTTGCCTAATTCTCACTGAGAGGACTTCAATTTACAGGTGGGAATTTTATATGGCAAAATTTGAAGAATTTATATAAATGATAGAAAAGGAGTAAAACTAAGCTAGAATCTTCTAAATTCATGGATGTGCTTTCTTATATAAATGTTAGCCATTTGGTTTTGTGAAACTTTAGGTATAAATATGTTATTTTTCCCACCAACAATCCAAGTAGGTACTGCAGGTCAGCAGAAGTTCTGAGGTATTTTAAAACTTTCTAAGAACTCCAAAGACTTATGATTCTTTTATCAAACTCAGCACTCTTGGCTTTTTCCCTATTTTTTTTGCCAAGGAAGATATTTCTGATGTTCTTTTTAGGTGATCGAGGCTGAGCAACGTACATCCAAAACATGGGAGTTGACACCTGAGGGCCAAGAGATTATTCACGAAGGAAGCCATGAGGTCCGAGTATTTAATAGCATCCCCTCTGAGGGTCTGCTTCAGAGTGAACTCATGGTAAAAAAAAAATTTCTAATTTCTATCTACTTATTGTATTAAATTGTTACTGAGAAATTATTTGTTTGATGTTATCTGCTGTGGATCTATATTTAGCATGGATCTAAATTTAAGTAACTCCTTTTTTGCTGATTTGATTGTATGGCTTCTGATCTGATGGGATAATCTTTTCCTTGTTTTACTGTAGAAGCTGCCAAGTGGAAAAGTGGGATTCAGCAAAGCAATGTCCAACAAATGGATCCGGCTAGACAAGAGTTCAGAAAATGGCCCTCGAATATTCCAGGCAGTGAGTAATCAAAATTCCTATCTGTCTGGGATCCCTGTTTCTGTAGCATGTTATATTTTTGCTCCCTCACCCTCCAAAGTTGAACAAAAATAGTACATATTTAAGAACAAACTAAGTAAATTCAGGATTGCTTTAATACTTTTGAATCCAAGAAAAAAACAGGATGAGAGTGAGAACTTTCCGCTTCTATCCATTGTGAGTTTCTTTTCTCTCCTAGGTGGAATCTGTTCAGGACACTGTAAAGGAAAAGCTGCTTCAAGTTCAGAAGGGAGAAGCTAACTGTTTAGAAGAAAAAGATAAAAATGAACTGAAGAAACGAAAACTCTTAGCAGAAGTGTGAGTTTCAATTCTAATATCTTATGCTCAATGTATCTTTTGCTGTGTAAACTCTTCATACAAGTTTCTTGGGTTATGTTTCCTAGGTAAGAAAAGTTAGTCACACTGCAGTTAATTATTTCATTTACATTCTTATTTTTTCCAACAAGGAGCCATGGCCAGGGGGACTGGTTGAATAAATCTCTGGCTATGTGGATTTGAAAATGGATTAATGGATCTGTCTTTCTCATTAATTCCTACTCCTTGTGTGATAATTCATTCCTTCTGGAGTTTTCACCAACAATTTGTTTTGTTTCACATATATTCTGTCCTGATTTGATTAATTTTTAAGGCAATTTGCTTTCATGCTTTCTGTACTGAGTACATATGAATACATTGTGTGTGTGTATATGATTTATTAATTTAAGGAATTGCTCTAGTTTGCAAAGTTCTCATGGAATACTCATTGCAGTAGAACTTTTAATGATTCTGCCCTCTTTCCAAGAGATGATGCATCAAAACTTGTGTTTCATTTTAGGACCATAAAGACATATTGGGTTAAAAAAGGAAGTGTTTTTAGCACAACTATTGCTAAACAAGAAACAGATCTTACACCAGAGATGATTGCCAGGTAAGCAACTCTGATGTCTCTTGTAGTATGGTCCTGATTAAGCTTGGATCTGGGCCTACAAATTGCCATTTCTGTCTGGAATTTGCTTTTGATTTCTGCATGTGGACCTTGGTTCTTGGCTTCACTATATAGAATTAAGTTTCCCCCATCACAGTCTTAAAGCTGACAGGTTGCTAAAATAGATTCATATCTTCAAACCCTTCCTGGCAAAATTCTTAACTTTCCTGTTTTCAATTGTGTTTGTGTTGCCTTTATATGAAGTTTAAAAAATGAATGTGGTATTTTTTTAATGAAGATATATTATTGAAATGGAAGCTGTTCTCAAAGAAATCACAGCCTATTGCTAAATGAATTATCTTTCTCGTGTTTTCCTGTTTTCCCCCATCCTTGCAGTGGTTCTTGGAGAGATTTGAAATTCAAGTCTTACAATTTTGAGGCACTGGGCATTATGCCTGAAAGCGGCCATCTCCATCCATTGCTGAAGGTCCGCACTCAGTTTCGGCAGATCTTCCTTGAAATGGGGTATGTACTAAATAATATATAGGCAGGAGAAATATAGCTGCGGGAAGCCTTTAAAATGCCTACTCAGCTAGCTGGAAGAATTTAAGAAGAGTCAACTCAAACATACTCATCTTTGAGATTCAGTAACATTGTATGCAAAATCCAAGTAATTTATTTTTGTTAATTGGGTGTAAATAATTTCCTCTGAGAAGTAGCAGAGTACTTTGGCTAAATATAAGCTAGTCATGGGACCCATTCCCTTAATATTTAATTGAAACCTTTTTTCTCTCTTCAGTTTCACAGAAATGCCCACGAATAATTTCATTGAGAGCTCCTTCTGGAACTTTGATGCCCTCTTTCAACCACAGCAGCATCCAGCCCGAGACCAGCATGACACTTTCTTTATGAAGGGTTGGTTCCATTGTTCTAAAATATAACAACTTTTATCTCTTGTTATACCAGGGTGAAGAATATAAGTTTGGTCTCCTTTTAAGGCTGATTTGGAACTGCAGATTCCTATGCAGTTCCTACAGAGATCTGATCAGGCACTTGTATCTAGGGGCCACTTGGTTCCCATCTAAAATGTGTAGCTGCTATTTTAAATTGTTCTAAGTGAATTTTTACAAATTGAGCAATAATTGGAGAATTTAGGATGTTGTCTGCATGCTATGGATATGAACCAAACAGCTCCATGTGAGGAACCTGCCAACATAAGGAAGGAGTAAAACTGAAATGTAGTTGTATAAGAAAAGAACTAACGGCAATCCTACAGTGTAGTCTGCTGTTAACACTGCAAGTCAGAAGTTAAGATAAACATCCATCAATTTCTCCTTGTCCCTTCCCTTCCATAGAATTACGCTTTCCTTGGACAATGTCAAAAGTCCATTGCTTTTATTTCATTTCCCACCTTAGACCACTTCTCTGAATAAATACAGCATTCACATTTGTCCCAATTTGAATATTCTAAATCTAACTTTTTATCATTTCGTGAATGGGTATGACTACCATTTTGAGAAGTTGTAATGCATATTATTACATAATTCCAGGTGTATCCTTTGTTCCAAAAGGTTGGGGTCTTCTATAGAAATTATTCTTTTTAAGATGCTTTTTGTAAATATTCTAGGATGTGGCACCCATTTTTTTGTGGAAAATAATAGCTGCAATATGGTTTTATGTTCTTGCCTTGAGTCTGGACAATGATGAAGGCAGCAGCTATAAACTCTTCTTGCTCTTTTTGAGTGCATATGGAGCCTTTGCATGTCTGGATACTTTTCTACAAGTTTCATTTCTTTCAGATCCTGCTGAAGCAATTGACTTTCCCATGGATTATTTGAAGAGAGTAAAGAGGGTGCATTCACAAGGAGGGTACGGTTCTCAAGGGTGAGTTCATTAACATGCTTTGTCCTGACATTGTGCAAACCATATAGTAGAAAAGCATGAATAATTGTTGTGGAGAGTTCAGTGTAACAGCTGGCATGGAAGGACTTTTTTCTTGTTACTGAGTCTAGAACATAAAGGGAGATACTTTGCTGTGAAATCTGTGACATTAGAGAAGGCAAAGATGGGAGACTTGATACTGACACATGAATTCAGTAGTGGAATCCTAGCAGCTTTTGGAACTGATTCATATTGAGTAAAAGTGTTATTGTATAGCAATAGCATTTAGATTTATATATCGCCCCATAGCGCTTTACACAACTCTCTGGGTGGTTTACAATGCTAGCATTATTTACATATTGTCTCCAGCAATCTGGGTCTTATTTTACTGGCCTTGGAAGGATGGAAGGCTGAGTCAACCTTGAGCCCCATCAGCATTGAACTCCAGGCTTTGGGCAGAGTCTGCCTACTGTGCCACTAGGACTCTATACACTAGTGTAAGGGACAAAAGTCCCAAATATCTAATAGAAATGACAGAATTTTTAAACATTAGGTCTGGTGTATCAACTATTTTTTCTTGTTCTGCAGAGAAATTACATGCTGATTTCTCAAGTCATGTAACTCATATGAATTGCCTCCAATTCCTGCATTTTTATGTTAATCTATTCCCTTCCTCCCTTTCAGTTACAAATATGAATGGAAACTGGAGGAAGCTCGGAAGAATCTTCTTCGGACACACACAACAGCTGTCAGTGCCCGGATGCTCTATCGGCTGGCACAGCAGGTAAATACTAGGGGTGTTTTCTTTTGTAGTTTGAAGAATACTTGCATTGCAAACTGTTGTTACAAAATATTTATGGGTTTAAAGCTGGTAGAACTTGATAAGCATAAAACTGGGTATTTGAATCAAATGAAAATGCCAAGCTATGATAATTGCTTCTACTACAGGAGAAGTTCACACCAACCAAATACTTCTCCATTGATCGTGTCTTCAGGAATGAGACACTGGATGCTACACATCTGGCAGAGTTCCACCAGATTGAGGGTGTGGTGGCTGATTATGGTTTGACACTAGGGGATCTTATGGGTGTCCTGAAAGAATTCTTCACCAAACTGGGTAAGAGATGGCGGAAAGTCAATGTGCAGGATAAAGGGCAGCAGTTTAGGCGATGAGCTTTTTAGGTGTTATTTTTCCTTTTCCCAGAAACCAGCTTCTTCTTTCTCTGTAACAGGAATCACACAACTACGCTTCAAGCCTGCTTACAATCCTTACACGGAGCCCAGCATGGAAGTTTTCAGCTATCATCAAGGTGAATTTTTTTTTAAAAAAAAGATATATAAAAACAAAAGAATTGTGTAGTTGAAGCATAGTTTTGTTTATGGCAGAATCTGACTGCTCTTCCTTCTTCAAATTAAACTCTTTTCCCAAATAACCTAGTTGATTTACAAAATACCTTTGGCAGTAAAGATCAATCATGCAAAGTACTGGTAATAATGAAAGTAACTTTTGAGGAAATACCAGTGAGTCTGTTTTCAGCTTACTTTCTTACCGGTAGAAAATGTTTGCTCCCAGTTCAGTCAAGAAGGCATCGGTTGCATGCCTATTGTCTTAAGAAAGAATCCCAACTGTTTTCATTTCAGCCATTAATAATTCCTTTATGACTCACATAATTGCAAAAAATTGAAAATGCACTATAAATGAGGACACTTCCACAAAGTGTTAACACACTTTAAAAACATACTTTGTCATCATCTGTTTGTTGGAGTTCCTCTTTGAGGTCCTTGATATTTAAAGGAAATATCCCCCCATAAACAAAACACTTTTCAGAACACAATGAACACATTTTCAGTCTTTCAGATTAAATGGGTACTGACATATTCCTTTCTGCCTCTCTTTGTCAGGGAGGAACCTGTATTTCTATATTGCTCAGAATCCCAGCAGAAAGTGCTGAATGGATTCCAGTAACCAGGCTTGAGGTCTACTCAGTAACCTGAAACCCTTGGCTTTGTGTATCCCCATTCTCACTTTGTCAGCTTAACTCTGGATATTTCCATTTTCTTTCAGGATTAAAGAAATGGGTGGAAGTGGGAAATTCAGGAGTCTTCCGCCCAGAAATGCTACTGCCTATGGGCCTGCCTGATGGGGTGTCTGTCATTGCCTGGGGGCTATCTCTAGAAAGGTGAGTGTCTTGGAGAATCAGTTAAGCTGCCTTGTGCTCTCTGGGCCTGCCAGAAGTCTCTAAAGGCCAAGGGCTACTTATATTTGTGAGAGAAACTACGAAGTACTTCCCATAACTCATATTATCCCTTTCTAGGATAATTAGCAGATGAAACTATGGGAAGCTTCAATTTGAATTTTTAATTTAGATTTATTTAAACAATACAAGAATAACTGTTAAAGTCAATCTCAGCTAATAACGACAAATTGTACACTAAGAGAACTAAAGAGTAATTCTGGGGGGAAAAGACAAAAAAGAACACAACTGCAGAACCAACCAGAGACAGCACTGACCTTCAAACCAACCCACACAAACCCCTCATCAGGTCACCTCCCAATGACCCTCATCTACCATCACAAGACTCTCACTGATGACTCACACCTGACCCATCACAAGACCCTCACATGACATACCCACACCTGAAGCTCTTATAAACAGAAGAACGCTGACATTGACATCCCTCTAAACTCCACTGAAAATGTTACCTAGCCTGGTAATGAAACATTCAGAAACCAACCCACAAGCTCAGAGAACGAACCTTCACCCTCAAAGAACACAATATATTGATACAATATATAAGCATTCGTCTAATAAAATCCTATTTAAGAAATCATTAAAGTCAACATTTGAACCAATTAAATCTCTCTAGTATAGGAAAGATGGTAACCAAACCTTTTACTTTTAAAATTCATCCACTTCCTTTGTTCACACATAATCAGATAGTACTTTTAGATCAGGCTAGATTAGTTCAGTATCTTGGTCCATAGGATTTCAGTCCAATCTGGACTGAATTCTAGGGGTACAATAGATCCCCAGTGGGTGGAGGGAGATAGGTGGACATTGTATTGTGAATTCCGTTCTAACTGTCTGTGTGTTACTTGTCCTTTATCTTGTTTCCATTGTGATTCAGTGCATTATTATTGTCTTTTGCAGGGAGGGGGAGTAGTTAGGAACTGCTTCAGATTGTCTGCTGTTTTGAAAGAGTGTGCACTTATAGTTAAATTGTTTCCAACAAATTCTTTGTGAGACTTTTCTCTGTTCTCTTCCAGACCCACCATGATCAAGTATGGCATCAATAACATCCGGGAATTAGTTGGTCACAAAGTCAATCTGCAGATGGTATATGACAGCCCACTTTGCCGCTTGGATGTCTAGGGCTAAGAAACCTGCTGCTCTCTTCAAATCTCCTTATTTATTGCCACTGCTCTTTGCCAGTGAACAGATTGGACATCTGTACTCCACACTGCTTGCTGCTGTAGGGAAAGTAATAAGACCATAGGGAAGGCACCTAGTCTTCATTTAGCAACATCTTGGATCAAGATTGAATGGATTCTCCTAGTCATAGTCCTATTTATGCGTACATTAAATATGTCTCAACATGAAATTGGAATGTAGTAATTCAAATGAATAAGGGCAGTTTCAGTTATCTGATTTCCTTGTAATGCAACTGGGCCATCATGCCATCAAGGTCTTTGGAATGAAAACAAAAATTGATCTCTCACTATCTTCATTGTTTCAATAAAGTTCTGGCAATATTTTTATTTTTAACAGTTACGAGTAAAAGAAAGAATCCTAATGTGCAATGGGAATCTGTGAACCAGCAATGGAGATGGAAAAAAGCAGCAGCTGCTTGACTAAGAATTGGTGACCATTGATTTATGAACTAAAATATCCCAATTAATGACCATAAAAAAAAATTCAGAAGGGCAGTCTCTAGGCTGATGTTAAAAGGTGGAATCACTACAACAAAGCAGCTTATTCACCTATTTAACCTGCCTCTTTTTGCTATGAGGAGACTTTCCCTTTCAGTTCTGGGAGCCTTGTTTGTCATAGCCTTATTCTGTAAGACTATTTTGTCTTCATCTTTGTAGTCCCGATGTCATATGCGGAGCTGTTTCTAGAGTTATATGTACTTCCTCAGCCTGGGTCTGGGAACATGTGCAGGTGGGATTTCTACTCAAATATGAAGGCTGGAAACCTGAAACAGTTGAGGGCTCTGATTCATCCTTGTCTGGATCCTCTGGCTGTGGCCCCAACAGGCAGTCTAGAAAGAGAAATAGAAGAGAGCATATCAAGCAGCCTCAGAGACTCTGTTTTATCCTAATTTTTATTGAGTAGTGGTAAAAATGACACATAGCCACACCATGTAATTGATACACTATCGGTAAATTCCTATAATAAAGGAAAGTTGGTAACTTTCTGTGATAGCTTCAGGCTTTTATGATTGAAATATTCCTTGCAAATCTGTGTTCTACAAGTTCCATATTATAGTCATTCCCCATGCTTGAATATAGCATGTAAGTTAACTGAAAGTGCAGGGGTCAGTATAATTGAGTTAAATTCCTAGCTCTGCAGTAGTAAAAAGTTTAATGATTGTAGTTCATTGATAGTTATGAACTGAGTTTTAGTGTTGTAGCACTTAACAGAAGAATTCTAGTGATTTCCTGCACATTTTTCCAGGTCAGGGAATAGGCCTGACTTTGGGGAAGGGAGGGGTCAGGAATTCCAGAAAATGTTGGAAATATTCTGTAAGAGAAGCAACTATCAACAATCAATTTCCTCCAGTGTTGAAAGGAAAGCAAAACACATGAGCCATTGGTTATTTTTTTCAAATAACTTAAAGACCTACAAACCTCAGAAATCCAAAACCTGTGTGATATTATCTGTTGTGACCACATTAAAAATTGAACTCAGTGAAAATTGCCTCTTCTAGATTTTAGTATTTTATGACACAATTTGCAGTAATTATTATGGTTCATTACACAATCAACTAGATGTTTACACTGGATTTGGTATTTTTACCCATGTATCGAGTCCTTCCCTAAGACTTGGAATAAGTTTTTTTATAGTGTTATTTTTACGATTTCTTATTTTCTGGGCCCCATAGCTGAGTATGGGATTTGAAGCTAATCTTTTAAGAAATGACATGAACTTGCCTATATCTCATGCATCTCGACTTCTGCAAAGGAAGAAACCACAATTCTTACATGTCAGTAGTATGAAGTGATAGGTATGCTGGGCATACCCTTCACACTTGAAAATGTATTTCCTTGTTTTGGACTTCAAGTTTTGCAATGCAATGTCTGGCTTTAAATATTACTAATGTGTATTTGCCATAAAAGCATATTAATATATATTTCTTTGTATTTGAAAGTGCAAATTAATGCAAACACAGGATAGACAGATTTATAATCATATTCAAAACTGACATACATTGAAGAACAGCATAGAATAAACACAATTCTAGAATTGCACCAAATATAGTATTTACAATCACTACTATAGGTTATTTAGGTGGTGTGAACATCCATTTAGTTTTGCAGTATTTCTGAGTACAGATCTACTCCCTATTTTCCTGATATAATGAAAGGCATATATTAGGGGAAAAGAGTCTCACCCAGGATGCATTACATATAGGGGGAAATTCTATAACTGTTTGTATGTTGAAACAGTAATTCACAGAATTCTTGGAGAACAAGTCTTAAGAGAGCCTTATAGAATGTCTAAAGCATTCTCCAGCTCAGATATTAAATTCCAGTTGATCATACTGAGAAAAAGATGGTTTGTCTTAGATTTTGTATATTGAGATGGTACAAGGGCAGAGAAAAGGAGTACAGAATTTATGCTCCTCACCATTTCAGTTGTAAGAGTACATGTCTCTTTAGGCCTATAAATATATTCCTGAAATAATAGGTAACATTTACTGAAAGAAAACCAGTAGAGAATTAAGATTAATCTGATTCCCTGCATTCTATGGCCCCTGCCACCCTTGCCATCTTGCTCCAGCTGATCAAACATGCTCTGCCTGGTCCTTTGTGAGGCAGTTGTTGGCTTTCTTCCCCAGATCATGTGTGGCAGTTTCCTCACAACACCTGGGAAAGATGGACTTATGTGGAGCAAGAAGACAGCAAAAGTCGTCTCTTGGGTTGTGGAGTACAAGGTGGATGTGAAGTGTAGGGTGATGAGAGGACCTGCACTCAGACAGCTGGAATGGCTGCAGTTTTGCATAGTACTCTGACTCAGGAGTTTCTTGCAATCCCAGAGCTGTATCCCTTTAGGTCTTTCTGCTGGGTCAGGCTGGGGCAGCTGAAGTCTCAGATCTGCAGCTCAGCAGTTTTTTGCAGTCCCAGAGCCATGGCATGCCAAGAAGCCCGAGTCATAGTATGGCTAACAGCCCTAGAACCATGTAGTTCTGGGGGTGCTTGCTGCCCCAAATGGCAGTCTACAAGGTAGCTAAAAGGGGAGTTGGATGGAATTGAAAAGGAAGCCGTCTCTTGGAAGAATCTAGGGTTGGGAGGACCAAGTCCAAAATGGCTTAGATTGGAAGAGGTCCTTGGCTATCAACTGTGGAATATGGTTAATAACAACAATGGGAAGTGCTGGGATCACCATTACTAAGCAATGTAGTCTAGGGGTGGGTTCCACTTACCTTTACTACCGGTTTGCAGTGGGAGCGCAGAAGCTTCTGCGCATGCGCAGATCACCCATGATGACGCCGTGGCGGGTGGGCGGAGCCTCCCACTGGTTTTACTACTGGTTCTATAGAAACGGACCGAACCGGGAGCAACCCAACACTGATGTAGTCACATCATCATGTTGTGATTAATAATTGCATCGCTTAGTAAATTCTGATCCCAATTCTAGTTGTAAGTCAAGGACTACCTATAGTTTATATAGTTATAATGAACTTAGCTTTTTGCAATAGAACTTGCATTTAAAAGCTGTACATCTTAAAGTGGTTGCCTCAGCAGCACTGTCCTTACCTGCTAGGTCATGAGCCAGGTCCTTGATTAAATGACCAACAATAGCATAGGCCACGCTCACTATCACCATAACAGCCATGAGCATATAAAGCACAGCCTTGGGCACAGGGATGAAATCAAGAGATGGAGGCTGGTAGTCACTGTAAAGGGGCTGCTCATCAGAGGAAGAGGAATACTGAGATAGAAGAGCCATGGTCTCTGTATGATTTGAGATGCTGATGTTTGTTAGCTGTATCTGTGAGGCAAGTTCCATACTCTGGCAATGTTGAATCTGGCTGCTTGTGAAAGGAGACTGCACAGCCTTTGAGGATCTGAAACATAAGCAAGAAGTAATATGTTTTGATTAGTATGGATCATGCTTGGTTATTAGTAGCTTGACATAAACCATGGATTTGTCAAATTGTTTCCCCATATCAGGAATTTGGGGCTGATGAGCTCGTTTGGATTTCTAACCATGTGTTCAGGATATTTTCATTAAAAAGTTGTTTTGAAATACCATTATGATATTATCCCTAGTCCTTCTCTTTGTTAGACCATTCATCATATGGTTTAGTCTCCAGATCCCTTATAATCTTTGTTGCTCTTCTCTGTACTTTGTTGTTCTTTTCTGCACTCTTTCTAGGATCTCTTTTGTATTATGGTGACCAGAATTGGATGCAGTATTCCAATATGATGGATAAAGCAGTGCAAAATCCTGCTACAAGAAGGTAAATTTGTTGCTTTGTGCTATATATACTCTACCTCAAATGCTCTATGTGCCATTGATATTTAGCAAAGTATCTGGCATCATCTATATTTTTATGAATGTCTTTAGATTCAAACAGGACCTATAGGGAGTTTTAAGTTACAAAAACAAATACTGTAGTAGTTATACCCTGCTGCTTCTCTTCATATGACAATCTGTAAGAACTAATAAAGAATTAAAGAATTAACACAACCATTTTGTGCTAATCATGCTCAAGCTCACTAATTCTCTTTAATATTCTAATATTTGGGGGACATTTCTGTACCCTTTAATAGAGCAACTTCAACTAGGTGGCAGGAAAACTAAGTGGTAGAGTACCCACCAGTTATTTAATATGTTCATACCAAAAGGAAGATGCAAATTTAATACAATCTGTTGTATTAATCTGGTTAGTCTTCAACATCAGTTCTGTCAGTGCTTTGCAAATGACATGGTTGCCTAGGGTGTTTTGTAAATTCATTTGGGATAAGTTATGGTTCATTGTATTTGGCACTCTTGAAAACTGGATTGAATTGATTTGGTTAGCAATTAATCAAGGTAGCCATTACAAGTCTTTAAAGTGTTTTATGCACTCCTGTAATCTGAATTTCCTAATCTAGTGTTCTCCCTATAAGTATTGCTATAAATATTGCAATTATTGATAAAGTTGGCTCCCAAAAACTAATACTTTTAAATGAAAATTTATTTCAATTTTTGCTACCAAATGCCTGATTTTTTACTACCATAGAACAGCACAGCTCTTCTCCTACAGGAATATGACAATGAGTCTTTATGGGATTACCCGGGGTTATCTACCGTCTGTCCTCCATCCCCAGTGAAATGCCTTCTAAGCTTGAAGTGGGGAATATCTGTTTCCTCAAAGCCTCCACCCAACATCCCCTCCTAGGTGTGCTCTACAGGTTATTTGCCATGGGAAAGCAGAGGGAGAAAGTAGGCAACTAGAGGACCTGAACAATAAGGTGTCCTACATCAAACAATGAAAGTATTATATTGCAGATTGGTGCAGATGGGTTAGTAAGAAATTCAATTTATGGGGGGGAATAATATAGTTTCCTACAGCAATCTGTCTCAGCCCAGTTGGCCTCCTGAAATGAAGTACTTTAGCTCATATAATCCACAACCAGAATACCTGTTTTGATGTGGAATTAAGGGAGTTTAAAGATCAGCACACAAGTTATCAGGAATTTAGTTGAAGCTCCCATTTCAGAAAATTGTGTTACTTTTGTTTACTTATTCTTACCTTTCCTGGACAATTTACAACTACACATAAGATAATACTTTTTTCCCTTATGGTTAATACTATCAATTATTTGCTGTCCTTAAGCACCTGCAAAAATTATATCCAAATCCTTTCACTCTGGCATAATTAATTGCCAAGCCCTGTTGCACTTTACAAAACAGCAAGTATATATATATGCTTCCATGAACTTGTGTCCACTTCATTACATTTATCCTGCCATTTGAATTTGTTATTTATACAACAGATCACTGTTAATGAACAAGTAATTATTTTATACTCTAGTCAGTCTAACTGAGCCTGACCAGTTGTTTGTACACATTAGATCTTAATTCCCTAAAGAGTTATCACTTTGATCCATCTGGAAATATCCTGACTTGGAAGCTCTTTTCCTTGATCCCCAATATGTATGAATTCTCTAAAATAATTTAATAGTGAGGAAAATGCTCTGGGTCTGCTTATAAACTTTTATAATATGTAGACAGAGGTGGCTTATTGCCAGTGATTGAGCCTGCCACTTCTGGTAACACTGAATTTTGTAGGCTTTGCCAAGAATTAAGGTCTATTCCAAAACAATTATATTTTGCAGGTTGTTGCCATTGTCAAACAAAAATGTTTATTTCCCCCTAACATGGGGGCAAGGTGGTGGGTTTGATTCTATAGATTAAGGAAACCACTAAAAATATTTGGTGAGTGACCTAATGCTAAAAAGTTTGTGTCCTTATGTTATTTATATATCTACAGCTCATGTTAGTGATGTTTTGCTCCTTTTTTATTACAAATATTACATCTGAGTGATTCAGTGCTATTCATGTCTTTTCAGCAGTATTTTATGGCTTTAAAAAATGCTCACAAGGTGCCTATTTATTGAAAACAACCAAATTTTCATTTGCTGAAAAATACTATCCTGGCTGTCTTAGTTAATGTCAGTAAGGTTGCTGAGCAAAGAGCAAGGGCTTTGTGGAATCCCATTCCTTTTCTCCTAAGCCTCCAAGCATATTAAGATTTACAAACCTTAAAATAGCTGCCCTTTTCTCTGGTTGTTTTAGTCCTTACGCAGTTATGGTTTAAACATGCCAACGCAACTGGTGTTCCAGATCTGACCCCTCTAAATGAATAATCCTCAATGATCAGCTTTGGTTTATCTCTGTCAATACACGGGCAGAAAAAGCTTCGTTCAAAGAGATCCAAGCAGCTCTTCGAAAACATTCACCAAGCCAGAGCAGCCAATGGGTTCCCCTGTCCTTGGGGGCCCGTTCCAGCCAGCGAGCAGATGCAAAGCCGGTTCTCCCAGTAATACTTATGCGTAACTTGAAGAGAGGTCCAGAAACATCTGAACACCCTACCATAATTCTTCCTTGATGCCCATAGCGCAAGGTTTGTATTCGCAGGCTGCACGGTTACGAAATGTCTCTTCCCCCCTCCCCTCCCCAAACCTCACCGGAGTGGCGGGATTTCTCCACCTCGAAGGCGCTCGAGCGGTCTTCTTCAAGTTTTGCAGTTGCAGCAGTTAGAAAGCGGCAAAGCGCTCTCCCCCGATAGAAGTCAGGCAGCGCGAGAGATTAAGAAACGGTAGGCTTAGCTCGCCTTCCTCCATCTGAAAAGCTGGTAGAAGACATGCCGGGGAAACCCGGAGGAAAGGCTCCACCTACTTTGTGATGTCATTGAAGAGTTCCCTTATCGGTGGATTTAGTTTAGCTCTCGAAAAAAAAAAAACCCAGTACAGCGTTAGATGAGAAATCATAGCAATTGGCTCGCTTGGGCTGTTAAACTAAAAGAGAAGAAAGGTCCGAATGCATTTTTTCCCTAACCATTCTGAGGATTTCCCCAAACTTCCTCTCCAAGAAGCTCCTGGATCTTCATATGCTGGATCTGCTGCCCACTATAACATTCCTTATCTTTTTGGAAACTTGGTAGTTTCTGCTGCTGCCACCTGTCTTCTAGGGACGTAGCATTCATCCTGTTATATGATTTGCTGTCTAATTGCACTTCCAATTTGGAAAATGTTTGTGCAAAAACAAGTTCGGTATAGTGGTTAAGGTAACAGACTAGAAATGGATTTGAAGATTTTTTTTACATTGATACATATACATACATACATACATACATACATACATACATACATACATACATATGCATAGTCAGAATGGATCCCACACTTAATAAAAAGCGTCCACAAGAGACCTAAAACAAGATGGAACAATGACATCAGCAATTATTGTGGGCCCAACTGGCAAAGGAAAGCTCAAGACTGTATTGGTAAGGCACATATTATTTATTTATTGTGCAAACTTAATGCTACAAGGAAGGCAAAAAGTTAAAAACTGCAATGCACAATTCATGTTTCTAATCAAAATTGGTGTCCTTATGCACTAAAAAAAATCTTCCTTCTTGAAGGAACTATAGTCCTTCTAGGAACCCCGCCTCCATCTGGTAATAACAGAGGGAAAATTATATTAAAAAGCACCCAAGGATCATCTTGCAGGCTAATATTTTCTTGTACTTTGTTGTTTGCTGAGTTGTGGCAAAACAATAGTAGAGTAGCAAGATCTTATCTGCAAAAGATAATATTGTCAGACCCAAGAAATCATCATGAATCATTCCTTTTATTAGTCAAAACAATAGGCATACGTTTGTCAAGACTTATCAGCTATTCCTTTAAACTTATCCTAATAAAAGAGTCTGGTAAATCTTTAGGATCATCAAATCTTGTGATACCTCTTATTGTTCAGGCTAGAAACAAAGGCCATCCCAGACACCTGACCCAATCTTCCCCCTTTCTTTTCTTTTTGTTCTCCCTTTTCCTGCTTTCTATTCATTTTTTCCAAAATAGGATTACCTGTTTTATTAATATTTTATAAAAAGGAAAAGCTACCTCTCTTGTTTTGCCAGCCCATGCTCTCCTTTTATCTTTTTTTTAAATCTCCTCCCATAGCTGAAATAATTCAGAAGAACTGCCCAGATTTGAGCTATTCCTTCTGATTTGCCAACATTTTGCTTATCTCGGAGAGAAACCTCTGACATTTCTGAAGCCAGAATCTTTCCTCACCTCTGAAATTAGACTTGAGTCCAGCTAATGTGACCTTCATCCAGGCAGCTGCGTGTCACAATCCTTCACTGAGTTAGACTTGGAGTACAACTCCTAGGAGGTTGCTGGGTCCTAGTGTGTTACAGATGACTCAAAGCCTTCCAGTATATTGCCTTCTTAAACTAGAAACACAGCCTTACTGGGTCTCCAAAACACATCTAAACAGTTGCATCCAGAATTAGGCAAAGAAAGCACCATTTGATCTTGTCTCTAGCTCCATGATTTTAAGAATCTAAAGAGCATGAACAAAACAGTATTGATAGAAACCCTCTGTCTTCCTTGCCTTCTATTGGAGATCCATCTGACACTGACTTTCAAGAACCAGAACTCTGATGAAACAGCAAAGACAAGGTGATTCCTTTCTTTCTTCAGTTCAAAACATTGTCTCTGCTTATTTCTCCAGAGCTGTCAAACCTGCCTCAGTCAGAACCCTTAGGAAAGAAAGACCCTGGACTCCATTTGGGTGAAGTGATTTATTTTTTTACTAGAAGATGCTGGCTATAGTAGGTTTAGGTTTAGGTTTAGGTTTATTTGATTTGTATACCGCCCTACTCCCGAAGGACTCAGGGCGGTGAACAGCCAACAATAAAATACATAAATACAAAAAATTTAAAAACCAGATAAAATCAAATTAAATCATTTTGGCCCAGACAGATTAAAACACCCCAATAATTTAAAAACAGATTAAAATTTACATATTTAAAAAGGGAAGAAATTAGGCCAAGCCCGCCTGATGGAATAAAAAGGTCTTCACAGCACAGCGGAAGGAGCGCAGATCCGGGATCCTCCGTATCTCCGGGGGGAGCTCATTCCAGATGGTAGGTGCCCCCACAGAGAAGGCTCTCCCCCTAGGGGCCGCCAGTTGACATTGTTTGGCTGACGGCACCCGGAGGAGTCCCTCTCTATGAGAGCGTACTGGCCGGTGGGAGGCTATTGGTGGTAGTAGGCGGTCCCGTAAATAACCAGGTCCTAAGCCTAGTACAATCAGGCTAGAACTAAAATTCCAATATGAAATCATACAGGCTTCTCCATTCAATCTGACCTTCTCCCCTTGACCAATCCACTTTCAGCCAATGGGTGGATGTCTAGGTGTTTTGGAAATGTTCGGTGTTTGGAGCAATTGGCATTCTATTACCAAGCATCTTTACTTTACTTTACTTTTATTTGATTTGTATACCGCCCTACTCCCGAAGGACTCAGGGCAGTGAACAGCCAACAATAAAATACATACATACAAAATTTTAAAAAAGAGAAATAAAATCGAATTAAATAGTTTGGCCGACAGATTAAAACCCCAATCAATTTAAAACAAATTTAAACTTTGAGGAGTAAAAATATTAAAATATTAAAATTGTTTAAAAAGAGGGAGAAAGTTAGGCCAGGCCTGCCTGGTGAAATAAAAAGGGCTTTAGAGCGCGGCGGAAGGTGCGCAGATCCGGGATCCACCATATCTCCGGGGGGAGCTCGTTCCAGATAGTAGGTGCCCCCACAGAGAAGGCTCTCCGCCTGGGGGCCGCCAGTCGACATTGTTTGGCCGACAGCACCCGGAGGAGCCCCTCTCTATGAGAGCGTACCGGCCAGTGGGAGGCTATTGGTGGTAGTAGGCGATCCAGCAAGTACCCAGGTCTTGAGCCATGGAGCGCTTTAAAGGTGGTAACCAAAACCTTGAATCGCACCCGGAAGACCACCGGGAGCCAGTGCAGCTCGCGCAGGAGGGGTGTTACATGGGAGCGCCATGTCGCTCCCATTACCACCCGCGCGACCGCACTCAGCCGTGAATCCAGGAGGACGCCCAAGTTGCGTGCCCTCTCCGTGGGGGCCAATGATTTGCCCCCAATAGTCAGTGATGGCACCAACTGACTATATAAGGACGTCGGAAACCACACCAAGAGGCCACAAATCTCTGGCCTCTTGGTGTCCATGAAGACTGACATGAACTGGATCAAAGCATCCTTAGCCTTCCTCAACTGTCAATCCACCCCTCCCAATTTCCCAGCACTAGCCTAATACATGTTTATTGCCCATTTGGTCCCTTGCTTCCTCTCCCCCCCACCCCGCTGGCTATTGATGGGAGGACGCCAATGAGGCTTGGAGCCAAAGATGGTAGAATTGACAAAGAAGATAATCACTTTGTTAAACATCCTGTTTCCTTGCCATTCTATGATCTCATTGCTTTATCTTACAGAATTCAGTCTTTCTCCTTCTGAATTAAATGTGTTACTATAGATTATTATCGCCTCTTATTTAATTGTTTCATATGTCAACTTTAAATATTGATAGTACTGTCCTTCCTTCCATCTCTAGGAGATACTATAATCTTGAAGCTCAGATTACAGAAATAATAGGTGATCAATTAGTAAAAAAAAGAAAGAAAAACCTAAAGAAAGTACAGTGTTCTGGATAGCTCACAAGACAGCACTAATTTACCACAAATGAAGGACTTCCTGCCAGTATCTCTAAAAAGATATTACAGGTTTCAAATTAAAGATCACAGGAAATTATTTTACTTTAATATTTCACATTTTTATATGAATAAATTTCATATGAATGGATTTATACCTGTGGGATAGCACAATACAGCAAACTAGAATTTAAAAATATAACATAAATTATTGGTTAGATATTTTCTATTTTCTATTTCTAGAGAAATAAGCATTTCGGGGGGAGCAAAAATTCCTGCTTCTCTAGCATCTTTGGAATTTCAAGTATTAATCAGGGGACTAATGAGGAATAGAAGCCTACTCTTTATCAGCTATTATGTGAACTTCTGCCCTTTTCTTTTAAAGAATTGGACTTTCTCCAACAAAATAAGGAGCTAACTTGACAATGTGCCTGACAGGTGTATCTCACTCAGGGATGAGGTGTGCCTGCAGGCTGGCAGCAAAGTTAAATTAACAAGAGCCTTAAAACTACATTCTTTCCAGCTTTCCATTATAAACCATTGTCCATTTAGCAATCTGCCCAAGGTGTCAGGTGTTTTTGAAATGAAGAAACCCAGAGTTTGGATCCCAGGGCAGACAGCTTCCCATCCCAATGTTACTCAACAGTTGAAGAGCTAGTGGCTAGATATGAGAAAACAGATTTGTTCTAATGGCCAGAGACTACACAAACAAATTGCTCTGGGGAAAAAGGACAGCAACAGAAGTAGCTCAGGAGGCTCTCTTGAACAAGTGGGAAGAAGCAGTGCCAGGAAGTTGCCTCAGCATCAGATCTGGATTACAAAATTTCAAAGGACAACCAGATGATAGCACAGACTTTTCTTTTTTTTGTCTCTTGTTGCTGCCATCTAGGGGTATCTCTGGGGACCTTGGTGCTCCCTGACTTTGGTTGTTTTCTTGCAGATGTTTCATTACCAAACTAGGTAACATCATCAGTGCACAGAGAGCACCAAGGACCCTACAGTTCAATCCTGAGCTACAATATTCTGTTCTAGGGGGCCTCTAGTCAGCATTTGTTCCTGTGCCTTGAAAAAAAGACAACTGCATGGACTAGTCCCTGCAGGGTATTTTTTACAAGATTTTTCAGAAATGGTTTGCTATTGTCTTCTTTTTTCCAGGGCTAATAGAAACTGCCCCAGGGTCATCCACCTAGTTTCGTGCTTCAAGCAGAACTAGAATTCTGTCTCCTGATTTCTAGCCTGGGGTCTTGCTGGTAGCAAGTAAGCAGGAGTCTGGTAGCCCCTCTTCCAGCTACTGTAACACGCTTTATTAAAAGGCATATACTTTTACAATTCCATTTGATTTGATAAAGTGAATTTAGCTTTCAAAAGTTTATGCCTATCACTAAAACATCATCATACTGTAGTTGGAAAAGGAGCTTTCAGCTATCAGCTTTCTCTGAGATACATAACCTGCTTGTTTGAGGCAGGCCCATTTCTCAAAAGAAAACATGTGCCAGCTTTTCCAAGGAGCTACCCTCAAGAGGTGTTGGATTCAAATACCTATCTTCACACAGAAGTACTGGCTGGGGAACATAGGAATTGGAGTCTAAGATGTCTGGGGGACATGAGGTTGAGGGAGGCTAATGGAGACAAAAGGCTTCAGACACTGAGCTTAAAGAAGGCTAATGGAGGCATCCTTCTTAGAAGATGCATCAGATGTTTGATTTCTTTAAACTCACAGGCCCCTCCCACATCTGCAACTATTGTGAGGGGAAAGGGGGAAGGGAATAATTTCTCCTCAGGGCAGAATCTGTTAGACCTTATTCAAAATAGGGCAGAAAGTCAAAGAAGGTAAACCATAACTTTTCCTCCCACATAAATCTACACACAGACACAGACACAGACACAGACACACACACACACACACACACACACAGAAGGAGAGATAGAAGTTGTACAAGGTCATTTTTCTGTGGAATTCTGTCCTCTTCAGAGTCTATCTGAATGTTATGTTACTTTTTTTATTTTATTTGTTTTAAATTTTAACCCTTATGGTCAAGTTGTTCATTATAGCCAGTTTGGCGTAGTGGTTGAAGGTATCAGGCTAGAATCAGGAGGCCTTGAGTTCTAGTCCTGCCTGAGACATAAAATCATCTGGCTGACCTTGGGCCAGTCATTCTCTCTCAGGTCTAGGAAAGAGGCAACAATTTGCCCTTGTGAAAAATCTTGCCAAGAAAACTGCAGTGACCAGTCCAGGCAATTGCCAGGAATTGTTAAAGGGCACGCAAGGACATGCAAACATATACACACACAGCTGTTTATACAATATGAATTTGTAACATATTCTTCTGAATTTACAGGTAGTTCTTATTTAGTGACTACAGTTAGATCTGGCAATACAGTAATTAAGCGAAGCAGTTGCCAACTGAAACTCTCACTGTGCTTATACTTACTTCAGCTTTCCTTTGCTTTACAGACCTATAAAGTTCGTAAATGCAAGGATTGGTTGTAAAGCTATTTTTTCATCACTGCCATAACTGTGAATGGTTGTTAAGCAAGGCAGTCACTAAATAAGGACTGCCTGCATTATCAATATTCTAAGTAAAAAATAGTGTGTGATTTTTTTTTTAAAAAGACATATCTTTAAGAAAATGGAGAGTGGCATTTAATACTGCTTAATGGTAGTCTGAAAGTTAGTGGTTGCCCAGTTTGATGACTGAGGAAGTGTTTAAACAGATATTTCCTATGCCTTTGAGTTTTAAAATCTATCAATTCCATCCCACTAGCTATTCACTAGGCTACTTTATGTTGTTATTTTCAAGTTTTGAAGAAGAAAATCTGGGGGCTTCCACTTATGCTTGTCTTAGCATAACGTTCCCTTACGTTGGCATCCATTCACACACCTCTGTTTTGTTTTTTTATTACAACCCTGAAGTATACAGGATCTGATGTCTTTAGAAAAATGATGGAGACTGACTGCTACAAATTGGTCATTGGAAATCAATTTGAGAATTCATAATCTTAACTGCCCATTTTGTCAATTTCAGCAATTCTAAGAGCATCCCTTTGTGTTTATGGATGAGTGAATGGGTGGAAACCTTGTCACAGAAATAAAGATGACTGCTGTCAAAATATCGAAGCAGTTTCTCAGAGAGTAATGGAAAAAATCACAATTATAAAAAACCCTTTGATATGAAATGGAATTTCTATCATGTAAAGCTCAACATGTGTCCAGAAACTATTGTGTTCAACATATTTGAAATCAAGTTACGGTATAATTAAACTACATTAAAAGGATTATATAAAATTTTATCAATTATTTTTGGCTTTTGCAAAAAACTGATACAATAGCATGATTAACAAAAATGTAAATTAACTGCCTTCTGATGACATCTCTTTTCCTCATCCTTAAAGGCTATTATGTCTACTCAAGAATTTCAGTTCCAAGAGCCAGAGCAAGAACAAGATAAATCAAACAATCTATTCTTCACTAATTCAGAAAGAAATGAATTAAGTGATAATCCATTAAGGTATGATTTAAAAAGTATTGTGAAGCTTTAAAATCTTCAACAGTCAAATGTGAATCCAAAATGGATATCATGACCCATACTATCTATGAATAGATTTCCCCCAAAAGGTTGATTTTTTTACCAAAACTTACAATCTTGCATCTATGAGGAAATATGTAACAGTAATAGTAGCTACAACCACCTAAAGTATTATTGATGATGCAGGTTTGTGCCCAATGCAACTAAAACGACATTTTAGAGATGATGTGCTTGCTGTCTTATATTGAGCTTGTTCATATGTGTTAATGTGTTGTTTGAATAACGATTTAAACCATAGTCTGGTTTATAATTTGCAATGGTTAGTTTCACATAACCAATGTATGCTACAAACAGACTGTATTAGGGATTAGTATGAAATATGAATGCAGTTGGAATAACTATTCTTATGCAATTTTGTCTATTTGGATAATAGCATTCTATAACAGAGACAGGTGTCTTTCCAAATCCTCCTGACAATTTAAGAAAATGAAGATGTGATGCAGTCTACCCCCAATTTGTTATGTGAATAAAAATAGGATAAGGATTAAATACTACCGTGAATAAAAAAGCAGACATAGGACACAAACAAGTTATTATCTCAAATGAAAGTAGCATTCTAGAAAGGAAAGTTAGAATTTTTAACATTATGGATTGAGAGAATTGGTCACGTTTTTCTTTTGTATCGTAAGGACAAGAAGGTCCTTAAAATGTTTCCCCTTTTTAATGGGATATGACTACATAAATCTACTGGACAGTATAAAATCAAATGAATTAGTTAAGTTTATGCCTGATGGAATGTAGCTCTACTTAATTCAAAGGAAACATATACAGTCAGAAGTAGGCTCTGGAAAAACAGATGAAAGTAAACAAAATTGTTAATGGAAAGAAATTATTTATGACATTTAAAAATTGATTTAATTGTTGTATTGGTACAATATCATTTTGTTAATAAAAAAACTGAAGAAGTAACATGAAAATTATATGAAATACTATTTTCTGCAATCCATTGGCTTCCATTGTTTTGAATATGGTGAAGTGAAATGGGAGTCAAACCAAATTTTCTTGGACTAGATCTGGCATGTGAGTTGCATATAGATTCAAGAAGCTCCATAATTATTGTAATTTCCATACTTCATTATGAAAATAATTTTACTTGTGATATAATCAGTTCTACCATATCCCTATGCACAGAAACTATTAATTTTATACCGTAAGATATTTCATTTTTTATTTTTCTGAAAATATAGGAAAGATTCTCCTAAAACAGTTCTTCCCAATGCAAATGTAAGCGGAGGAAGACCAGATAGCAAAGCCTCAAATTACTTTATAGCCCTAGATTCAACTATTGAAAGTCTTCAGGAAAGAACACAGCAACTAATTGATAAGATTAATGAGAATAGGAAGAAAGACCATGTACTCATGAACAACTTCAGGGAAAGTCTTCTGATGAAGGTAAAATAAGAACAAATTTGGTGGTGAAAACATTCAGAAGTTTTGAGAAATAGAACATAATTATTAAATTTAATTTTCCAAATTATTCATTTCTTCATTATCTTTCTGCTTTTAATCAAAATGATGGCAGCACCATCACAACATGACTAAATTTATAAAAATTAAGCATGATTTAATCTGGTTAGAACATGAAGAGGAAATCATTAGGAAATTCTCTGGCTGTACATTAGACTGGCAAATCTTTTTTAAAAAGTCATAAACATTTTCATATTCAAAATAGCTATTTTGACTTTGGATAAATCTAATTCCAATCTAATTAAGACATTTCTGAAGTTGTTCTGGTATTCCCAAGCTTGAAGCATCTCTTTTGAACTTGGAACATTCTGGAACTGTTGGCAAAGTCACAACTATTCTTTCCAGCTGAAACAATTGAATTAAAAACATTTGATGCTATTAAAAAAAAAAACCTAGCAGAAATTAATAATAACTACTTCTGTATTTTTGCCAAGAAAGCAACCTGAACTCCTCACCTAAGAATCAAGCTAAATTTGAGGTTATTTTAGATAGCTAGAAATATTACCTATTTTATGTTTTATTACCTGTTCCTGGAATCCTTCTAGTCATTGTCACACATTATTCACTCTTCTACCTATTCCATTTGGTGCATTTCTTCTATTTTTCACCTGTTTCTTCACATATCAGTTATATATTTTGATATTTTGCTTTAATAAATGTGTATTATTTTAGAGGCAAGCTGGAGCAAAAATGCATATAATATATATTAAAATAAAGGCTCTTCAAGTATTCAAAGACAGAATATTAAATCAATAGCATTTAGTTCAATTAACAAATATATATATTAAAGGAGCTTGCTTTTTTGTTTAGATATATTTCCTGTCAAAAGAATCTTAATCACAGCTAATCTATTTTTCTAATGTTATTATTTTTAACTTCTTACAGCCTGAGAAAAGATTCAGATATTTTTATACAATTGTCCTCTCTATTTCCATAGTTATAAACTTCAATAGGATGTGAATTGTTTATATTATATAATCAGTTTGAATTACTTCAGAAATTATTTTAAATGTGGTTTCCCTTTAAGATTGCAGTATTAAACCCTGTTGCTTCTTTGTTAACATTCTGAATTCTTACAACTCAATTTTATGATTTAATAAAGTTGGCCTTTGCTAAGCAATAGTTCCTCAGTTTAAGTAATTTATATATGAATTCTATATCTCACCTTTCCACTGAACATAATACAGTATGCAGCAATGTAGTAAAACATAGTTTAAAATTCAATAATCAAAAATAAAAATATGTAAATAATAAATAGCAGTGCTCTCCTGGAATATCCTGGAAAATATAATCAAGTGGCAGATTTGTGAGCATCTAGAAATGAGCAAGGCAATTTCCAGAAACCAGCATGGGTATGTTAAAATCAGATCATGCCAGACAACTCTTATTTACTTCTTTGACAATGACTATATTAATGGATCAGTGAAATGCTGTGGGACATAGTTTACTTAGACTTCATTAGACTTTAACTGAAAGTACACCCTAGCTAAAATAGAACAATGTGGGATAGAAAGGACCACCAGCAGAAGCATTTGCAGTCCTACCACACTCGGCATATAGTCTTTAATGGAACTACATCTGCATGGATGGAATCATACAATGAGTTACCTCAAAGTTCTCTCTTATGCCCAGTACTCTTTAACATCTTCATAAATGATCTAGATGCGGGGATAGAAGGGGGACTCATCAAATTTGCAAATGATACTGTTAGATAGAATAGCTAACACTTTGGACTCAAGATTCAGAAGGATCTTGGCAGACTTGAACCCTGGGCCCTTTCCAACAAAATGAATTTCAACTTCAAAGTATGGTCCTATATGTAGGCACGAAAAACCAAATGCACAAGTATAGAATAGGAAGTACATGGCTCAATAGTAATAACTGTGAGCGGGATCTAGATGTCCTAGTGGACTATCACTTAAGTATGGACCAGCAGCTTGCTGCAGCTGCCAAAAAAGCCAATGCAGGCCTATGCTGCATCAATAGAGGGATAGTATCAAGATAATGTGAAATGATAGAACTGCTTTGTACTGTATTAGTGAGTCCATATTTAGAATATTGTGTACAGTTCTGGTCACCATGATATTAAAAAAATGTTGAGACCTTTGAAAGAATGCAGAAAGAACAACAAAGATAAGGGATCTGGAGGCTAAACCACATGATGAACAGTTGAGAGAACTAGGTATGTCTAGTTTAGTGAAGAGGAGGACTTAGGGGTGACTTAATAGCAGTCTTCCAATACTTGAGGGGCTGTCAGAGAAGAGGGGGTCAACCTATTTTCCAAAGCACCTGAGGGCAGGACAAGGAATAACAGGTGGAAGATTGTTAAAAAGAGATCCTATCTAGAATTGCTTCCCAGTGAGAACAATTGATCAGTGGACTGGCTTGCCTTCAGAAGTTCTGGGTCCTCCATCACTGGAGGTTTTCAAGAATAGAAGACCTCCACGAATCTTTTCAACCCTGTTATTTTGTCTTATATTATTCTCTATTAAAGCATAGCTGAACATCCGATATAAACAGCAAAAATACATCACAATAGTGGTAAAAGCAGGAGAGCTGCAAGGGCAATTACATGCTCACTACAATATCAATCTGAATTCTAATAATTATTAGGGCTGTGCACACATCACAAAGGAATCTTTGACCTGAGCAAGTTCACCTCTCCTTGGGCAGCCTGGCTTCCCAGTGATCACTATATTGATGCCGAACTTAGTACAAATACATGATTGTCACATTATATCATAGCACACAGCTTCCAAGTCAAGAAATATACCAGCTTTCTGATTATTTGAAGCATGCACAACCCAGTTGTTCCTGTTTGCTATACTCTGCCTATTACTTCACCAGATTTTTGTTTACTCTGTGAACAGTTAGTCACATTATCATTTATCGTAAGTGGACATATTAATTACTATTTAAGAAGTGTGCCAAGTTCAGTTTAACTTTCTTTTTCTTTCAAAGGTTTCAAGCTTGGCAGAAAAATTGGAGGAAAGTGTATTTCCTGTTTATGACCATAATAACAAGCTTATTCAGGATAAGCTGCAAGAGCTTTCTGAGATCATGGAGAAGATCAGACAGATTGAAAATGAACTCAAGCAGGTTTGTCATACTGTGGAGATGATGTATAAAGACCTGTGTGGTCAACCTGAGTTGTAATCTCATGGGGAAAAAATAAAGGAGAAAGAATACAGTAAAAAAGAATAGATAAATACCTAAATAGATTTGTGTGTCAGTAAGTAGTAATTTGGCTTCTTTGAATTGCAAAATGGCATCCAAATCTATTCTGTTCATAGGTAAATTTATTTTCAAGCACTCTTTTGTTTCTTCATTACTCATTTGCAAATGAGTCACTTTCTAGTTCATAATCTCAATAAAATTAGTTATATTAATATACAGTAATTTACTTTCTTTCCAAAACATTTGAACTATTATCAGTACTTACGGAGGTATAAAATCAATAAATGTCCTAGCAAATGTAGTCAGTACATACTATTTCCCCAAAAATAAGATCTGGTCATATTCTTTTTTTTTTTTTTTTTTGCTCCAAAAGGGAGCCAAAAAGCATTAGGGCTTATTTTCCAGGAAACACAGTATCAGGGTGATGGCAAGGGACCAGCCCCTGCTGCCCAGCCCCAGCCCGGTGTCCCACCCCCATCCCCCCCGCAGCACACGCACAAGAGGTGGTGAGAGCACAGGGGCTAACAGTGTCCGGCAGCAGCTGCATCTCGCTGGCCCCTTCGCCGGTGCGCTCTGGGGCTGCACAGACCACGCAGCGCTGGTGAGTTCAAGCACTGCAACTGTTGGACCGGCCCTCCAAGCAATAGGTAAAGGCAGAGGCGCAGGGGGAGGCCCGTGATGTGGCCTGCCAGACGTGCTGTATGGCCACTTGTTCTGTCACAACTGCGGGCAAACAAAGATAGTAGTACGGAGTGGGTGAGCAGCCACGCGACACATCCAGTGGGCCAGATTGTGTGCCTCCCTCCCACGTGTCTGCCACTGCCTGCTGCTTGGAGGGCTGGGCTGGCAGTCACAGCATTTAGGACTCACCTGTGCAGCCTAGGGCCGGGGGCTTCAGTTGCTGCTGGATACTATCGGATCCTGTGCATTCGCCACCTCCTGTGCTGGCCATGCCCCCAAGGGCTGATGAACTTAACTGGGGCTTATTTTTGGGGTAGAGCTTATATTACAAGCATCCTGAAAAATTGTGCATGGGTCTTATTTTCAGGGAAACAGTACAAACATGATACTCACTTGTTCTCAGTTTTCTCTTTCTCTTTCTATAAAATGGGCATTTTCAGCAAGGCAAATCCTTGTTTGGCTGAGTTCCTTTAGTCTGTTGACTGTAATTAAGTGGAATCAGAATGTTGCTATAGTGCAATCTCTTGAAAGTCATCACATCGAGGACATGAAGTGCTATTAAGGGCAGTACTATAAGTCTGTCATCACTGACTAGATAAACATCTATAGGTATTCAGCTGAAAGTCTCAGATTTATAGTATGAAAGTACAAGAAAAAATACCAATAATCTGTAAAGAATAATTGCTTAGGACAAAGATGATATCCAGTGTTCTCACTAAGAAATGAACAAGTTATTTAAAACTTGGTAAACATTCACACTTTAAACATAAATGTTCACACACCATAAACTTCAGAAATAAAAATAATTTGTTGGTATTTCTTCTTTTATTATAGTCTGTCGTAGTCAGCCAGTTGTTTAGACTGGATTTGGCATTTTTATCCACCTATCAAGTCCTTTCAAGGACCTGAGATAGGCAGATGTTTGGTGATGTTAGAAGTATCATCACAAGTTGTAAGCTGTTTAGGTAAAGCCAACTTTTGCAATTGACTGATGGTGAATTTGTCAATGCCAGTGGTGTTCAAGTGGTACTCTAGTTGTTTTGGGATTGCACCCAAGGCGCTATTATTATTGGCACTATCTTTGCTTTCATTTGCCACAGTTGTTCTATTTCCATTTGCAGATCTTTGTATTTTGTTACCTTCTCCATGTCCTTCTCTTATATTTTGCTATCTCCAGGTACTGCCATATCTACTATCCAAAATTTTTTGTCTTTCTTACCGACAATTGTTAGGTCTGACACATAATGCGGCATAACATAATAAAATGACATAATCTGCCTGCTTGAATTCTAAAGTCCTAGAACGGTTTAGCTTTTTCATTATCCATTACTTTATCTATTTTATGGTCCCACCAGTTCTTGTTTGTAGGCAAATGTAGTATAGCTTTTATTATCATTATACATCATGTATACAACAAAATTGGTTTTAGCATCACTGGTGCAATCCATGACAAAAAATACGAACAACGTAAATAGTATAAAGAATAATCCCTATGCAAGTAATTTGGGGGGGGGGTTTAAAGAAAAACTAGTCATACGTTTCCACGTGTGCGTGGAGTGATGGTATTTTTTGCAGATCTTCCAATGCACCATTGTTGCTACTTTGTCATGCCATTATTAGTCTGTGAGATCTTCTTGCAGTAGCTAATCAGGTTATTATTTTCTGTGCTGTTATTTTTCAGAATGTATTTTTTTGCCTTTTAGCTATATACTAATGTCAGTGCTAGACAGTACAGCGTGCTATGGTAAATCACAAAAAAACTTTTCATGTCTGTCCTTTTAATTAGAAACATCATTACATTTTTGTCTCTGCATTTGCATCCTATTTAGTGCTGCTTAAGTATTAGAAATCGACTTCTTGGCTCATGATTACACAACTTTTCTTGAGCTAACAGCTTTACTTCAACTTTGAGTGGTATGTTGTGAGTTCTACTCCAAAAATCAGGGATAAGGAGGTTGTGGAGCCAGGAAAAAAAATAGTTTACATTTAAGTTCTTTAAGTATAATTATTTCCCCCCCTTCTTATAATGTGGTGGCAATATTTGGTGGTCTCTGGAGGGGCTACATTCAAGACTCAGAGATCGCACCTCATGTCTTACAGCCTTAACTGTTCCATAATGTAACTTCTGTTTTGGAAACTAAATTATTAATTACAGTATATAGATTAAACAAACAAAACCCTTGACATACTGAGAAACACTTTAAAGTCATACTGCATATTAAAGAATATAGAGAATTAAGAATCCAAATATACATTATATATGAATCTTGATGATGGGAAAAATTTGCTGAATTATATATATATATATGTTAAGAACCATATGAAATCATAAAATTCCCAGCCAATTGCAAAATATAGCCCAATATCACTGATTTTGGAATACCATGCATCAGTCTTCAAGCCACACTCACTACATTTTATCTAACCAATAAGAACTCAGAATTGTCACATCCCACTCATTGTTTTCTGAATCCTTAACCACAGCAGCAGAAGTGTAACAGCCAAAATCTACAAGTAGTACTTTACTGCTTTAAATAAAGACAACTTCAAATATTCTCTTACAAGTATAGTGACAAAACTCAATGCCCTTTGAGTTTTGTCACTATACTTATGACAAACAGTGACACTCACAGTCTCCTTGGGTACCAATGGACTATTTTCTCTATTTAATCTCTATCCAAAGAGTTAAATAATTTTAAGTGCTAGTAAAGATGTGAAAGAACTACTTACAGGAAAGGACAATTTTCTTTGGTCACTAATATTAGCATATCAGATTTCAAGTAATTATCCTACACAAACTACTGTTGGAAATTCATCACATTAAATTTATTTTTGAAAGCACAAAGGGGATCTTATTCAAAGGGGCAAGGATCTGAGCTGAAATACCTTAACACGCCATCAAACATGTGTTCCAATATTTAAAAAATCAGTCTTTATTTAACAGTGTCGATGAAGGCACTAAAAAACAGCAGCTAGTTATGTCACATGGCAGGAAGAGCACAGAGTAGGTAGTAAATTCTGTTTTTCATCTTCTGTGTTTTTCATCTTCTGTGTTTGCAAGTATTACAATATTCTCTTACACAAAAAGAGAATCTTACCTGGATTTTTTAAAACTATAAATTGTAGATTACCCACTCTGGTATAGACCTCAAGGATCTGACTGGACTCTGGAATAGCAGTCAGCTTTAAAGTATCAAATACCTACAGTTACATACCAAAATAGTTTGTCTCAAAAACAATTAGACAATTCCAAAACATTTCCTAGACCACGGTGTTTTACCAATTAGAAAAAGGTTTTCCTTTAGCATAATGCAGCACTTTTAATTTCTTTCTGTATATTTGGTGAACAACAGAGAATTTTCAAGTGCCTGATTTCTTTCAGCTTACAAATAATTGAGTTGAACTGAATAATTTGATCACAATCTGGTGAGCAGAAGCAGTCATGCTCATCTTATAAAGATATTCCAGCATCATAAACCATCTCGATTTTCCCAACTGGAATCATGTAGAGGAAAGCTAAAGTTTAGAGAAATGTGTTTATTTCCCAACTGTGAATGCCTGAAGTCCAGTGATAGCTCTACCAAGGATGAGAGCATGGATATCGTGAGTTCCTGAAGGCAAAAAGGGAAAAATGTTGTTAGAATTATCTCTTTAAAAAAATTAATATATAAATGAAGCAAAATAATAGAACATGTTTCTAAATAACATATTTGCTGGACACAATTATAATCCTTTTTTACCTTCATATGTGTTAACTGCCTCCAAATTCATAACATGCCTGATAATATGATATTCATCTGCAATTCCATTGCCCCCAAGCATGTCACGAGCTTGCCGGGCAATATCCAGGGCTTTCCCACAGGAATTCCGTTTCAGCATAGAGATCATCTCAGGAGTTGCCCTGGGAACATAGGACGAATGCTGAAATCAAGCAAGGACTGAAAAGGCTTAGGTCCCTAGGCTTTCATACAAAATGGATAAAAAGTCAGATGTGACAGAAATCACTCTTAGCATAACACTTTAAAAAAAATGAATGGGAGAACCAAGGTACATAAAGAGGTGAGAATTCCCCTTCCTAAAAATCATGAATCTCCCTCTCTCCCCCCATTAATTCTGGAAATGAAGTTCAGTGGCACTAATGAATAGCAATAGCATTTAGACTTATATACTGTTTCATAGTGCTTTACAGCAGTGGTCCCCAACCTTTCCAGCTCTGCAGACTGGCTGTGGCGGTGGTGTTGGGGATGGTTTTGCACGCAAAAATGACACTTCCACAAATGCGGCTTCACATGCTTGCCCACCACTTGCACAGCCTAGTTCCCAAGAGAAGAAGCTATACAGAATCAGCATATTTCCCCCAACAGCCTTGGTCCTAATTTTATCAACTTCGGGTGCTTTCTTTCTACAGTTACCACCACAGCCAGAGTTTCATTGGGATTCTGATGAAAAATAAAAGAATGGCAATAACTAACCACATCTTATTGTCATGCAATTTTTTTATTCTTGCTATTAATTGCTTTTAAAAGCACAG